TATATATTTATATAATAACTAACAATTCAAATGGGTTAAACTAGTTGTGTGAAAAACTAAGAAAACTGTATTTTTAACGCGACTGCTGCCTTTCTGCAAATTTCGCTCAGTTTTCGATCGCTAGCGATTGTGGTGTTTATGTCTTCGTAATCAGAGGATATGATTTTGGTTTAAATGTTGAGTGGATCATTTATCGATTATCTTTGTCTTTCCTCTAAGATCCCTAAACGGCACACGTTAGCACTGGCAGTGGGGTAGTACGAGGCCATATCTTCAATGGTCAAAAGGCTATTTAGGGATGTAAAACATGTAACACAGATAATCAGAGCTTTAGTTCTACTTCCTACAGGGTAAATGATGTAATCATAGCTGGAAGGTACCTAAACAGAGCTGATTTATTACTGGACAGTTTCTGAATCCTCCCCCCCCCCTTTTTACAAAAGAAAATCCCACTAAAAAGAAGTCAACAAAAAACTCAAACAGAAACTTACAAAAAACACACCCCAAATCTTTCCTTAGATGCACAGTGTTTTGTCTGTAGATACTTTTGTTTTGTTTCGGAAAGTTTTTCCTTTTTTGGGGCCGATTTGTTAATGTCCCGGCTCCACCTCTTACCTCCAGATCCATAGGTCTCTGTTCTATGACAGTCTTTCTCCTCACGATGAGCGAACCCTCCGCTTCCGCCTCCCCCCACTTGTTGATGGCGTGACATCGATAGGGGCCGGAATCCGACAGAACAGCTCTCTGGATTTATGTATGTAATATATAAAACATGTTTTAGTTCAATTTTAAACAAATACAACATTCTATATGTCCATGTATATGATCTATCTTGACAAGGAAAGGATTTAGTCACAATTTGACCAAGGGGCAGTTTTTGAACCATGGTCACTGAAGTGTAATCTTTTACTTTTTTACTTGTTTTGGCCCGTGCTGGTGCTTTGCTTGTTTTTACATCTTGGATAAACGTTAAGTGGCGAGTAGCAGGGATCGGGGCAGTTAGAGGGAGACGACGGTACACAGTGTCAGTGATGATGATGATGATGATGATGATGATGATGATGATGATGATGATGATGATGATGATGATGATGATGATGATGATGATAATGATGCTGTTGGTGCTGCTGCTCATGATGATGATGATGACCCCTTGTATTCCAGTAACCTCCTTTATTTGGCTTTGCCTCTCCGTTATATTAATTACCTCCACGCACATTTTCTCATAGAACTGTCTGATTCTATGTCTCTTTGTCTCTTTCTCTGTCTGTCTGTCTGTCTGTCTGTCTGTCTGTCTGTCTGTCTGTCTGTCTGTCTACCACTTCTTACCTTAGTGTTCCCCTTTCTCTGACCGTTCTGATTTGTGTTCAAAGTACATGTTAGCATTGTGACATGAATGTACGCACTTTAATTTCTACCGCTAGTGTTGTCATTTATAATTTTGAATGTTCCTGACGAACCCAGTAGAGGTCGAAACGTTGAACGTGTCATTAAATATTTTGGAAATACTACCAAGTCTCAACTTTTTTTACTCTCTGCTGTGCACAATAATGATGATGATGATGATGATGATGATGATGATGATGATGATGATGATGATGATGATGATGATGATGATGAAGATGATGCTGATGATGATGAAGATGATGCTGATGAAGATGATGATGATGATGATGATGATGATGATGATGATGATGATGATGATGATGATGATGATGATGATGATGATGATGACATAGACTTTGCCACCGCCAGTAAAACCAGACTACAGGGATTTTTAAAAAGACCGCAGAGACAAACGCAACCACCTGAAGGCCTTCTACCTACCTCCACGTGTAAATCCCCACTGTCCTTGACTGTGAAACGACCTCCCGTGATTTGCATCTCCTCCTTGTACCACGTGACTATTTTCTGCCCCGTCACGTGACAGGAAATGTGGAAGGGCTGACCCTCGGCGACTTTCTGTCTCACTTCTGGTGGCTTTAGGATAGCAGGCTTCGAAGCTGTGGAGAGGATTCGGGAGGGGGGGGGGTTAAGGGGGAAGGGGGTAGTTGTTACGAAACCACAAAGCAACCACTTTATTGATCCTATTTTGAAAGTTTATGGGAGCTAATAAATTTTTAAAAATAGATATTGAAGAGAGAGAGAGAGAGAGAGAGAGAGAGAGAGAGAGAAAGAGAGAGAGAGAGAGAGAGAGAGAGAGAGAATGAAAGTAGATTTAGGCACAACTTGGGGAAACCAAAAACAAACATTACCCTCACAGTCTTAATATGGAATCGACAAGGAAAGAGAAAGAAAGGTAGGTATAACAGTTCTTGGAGTAGGGACTTAGCTTCGAACCTTAAAGAGGTGAGATACAGGTGGACAAAGGTGGAAACCATGGCCCATTAGAGAGGTACGTGTACAGCTCTTTTTGGTGGCATATACTCTCGCACGAGGTAAAAAAAGGCTGAAGATGATGATGATGATGATGATGATGATGATGATGATGATGATGATGATGATGATGATGATGATGATGATGATGATGATGATGATGATGATGATGA